GGGTCTGAAAGTCAGTCCTGCGGTGCTACAAAGCCTCTCAAAGGCAGCTGAGGCAGGCAGGGGTGTGTCGGTGACAAATACCACGCTGCTGGGAAAGATAAAGACGTTTGTTGTTGCGTCTTTTACGTCATGTTGTCATCCGGGGCGGCTGAAACAAACGACGACTCGGTTTTGAGAATGTAAGGAGTAGAAAGTACAGATATTAGTGTTCAAGTGTAGGGAGGAAAAGTAAAAGGTCGTCACAAAAATTCATACTCAAGTAAAGTAGAGATACCTGCAAAATCTACTTAAATACAGTAACGAAGGATTTGTACAACTCAAAAATGTCTTCAAATGCCTCTGAAATGTGATGAGAATAAACAAATATGGGACATAATGAATCCTGCTGTAAATGGGAAATGTACAGAAGAGGCATTTGTTCATGATGAGCTAACTCGGAAGGAAACACATCTTCTATAATAAAAGTGTTCCTGGACACACATGACAGTCCGCTTCTCACCGGCGTCTACACACAAACAAGTCATTCCTATGAGAGAGCAACATACAGGATTTAAATGGAAAACGTTCATAGGACTGTTGCCTCGCAGCTAGAAGGTCGCTGGTTCGTGTCCCGGTGGGGGCACCGGGATCTTTCTGTGTGGAGTCTCCATGTTCTCCCCGTGCAGCGTGGGTTCTCTCCGGGTTCTCCGGCTCCTCCCACATTCCAAAAACATGCAGAGGTTAATTGGTGATTGTAAATTGTCCGTAGATGTGAATGTGAGTGTGCTTGGTTGTCTGTCTCTAAGTGTAGCCCTGTGATAGACTGGTTACCTGTCCAGGTGAACCTGTCTTCACCCTGAGTCAGCTGGGATAGACTCCAGCCCCCCGTGACCCTAGTGAGGATTAAGCGGTGTTTAGATAATGGATGAATGGATGGATGGATGGATGGATGGACGTTCCTGCAAGGTGGCTAATGTCTGCGTTTCCTTTAAGTCAGACTGAAAATAACAAGAAAGTTTATATAAAAATCTGACTTTTTTTCTTGAAAGTTGCAGGAAAACAACCCTTTTTGCTTTAATATCGGCCGTTTTTATGCAAATCCTTCGTTGTTTGAATCTCTGCGATGAACGTGCAAAGTTAGCATGTCGAACACAGCAGCCTGAATTAAGCCAGAAGTACGAAGTATTTGTACTCCGTTACTTCCCACCTCTATCGCACATGATGCACACAAGCATCCTGTGCATGAACGCTGTGATCGTGTGAGNCATAAAGTCAGAGAACTGCCTCTGACAAAACCAGACGAATATGACGCCGAAAGATTTCTGTTACGAGTTGCAGACTGGCTGCCAGCGCTGATGTGCATCCTGTGGCTGGGTGAGAGTAAATAACTAGAAAGTTCTGTATGTTTGTCACTAAAAGATCAGTGCAGAGACGAACAAAACAAAAACCACTTTCACACTATTGTGAATCTGACAGGCGCTTTAGACGCTCAGAAAAAAACATTAAGGATAAATAAACGGAGACCGGCGTGATAAAGTTCGTCGCCTCTCGACGTTTGGATGAAGGAAGGAAATCTAACCCACCACATACTGAGAAATACAGCCCACTGCGTTATATACTGATAACTTCTCTTGGAGGAAACGATATGAAAATATATTAAGGCGGTACATCATCTTGCGGTAGAATATTTTTAGCCCGGTTATTTTGCCAATGTTGATATTTCTTATTTTTAACTATGTGATTTGCATCTCAACAAGTCCTGTGCGGGAACGAGGCGATAATAAAAACATTCATTCAACATTGCTTCCTGTGGCATTAAATCAAATAATATTTAATCTAAAATGATTCATGCGAGCTGCTAAAACCTCATTCTCTTCGATGAATCAATAAAGGCGCCTAACTTGGTTTTTAGGAGAGCCTCTCATCCCTCGAGCCCGAGTGACATTACCGCCGGATCTAAACAGATCGAGGGAGAGCAGAGGACTGACGGAAAGGCATCAGGCTTTAATATCGGCTTTCTGTTTAAGCAAATGCTCACCGCTGACTAAAAAGAGTCTCCACAGCCTGAGTAATGCAGCCTCAACAGATTTAACTAGTCTGGAAAAAAGCAACAGGGTTTTTTCTTCTCCGTCATCAGGCGGTACGTGTGATTTCCCCCCCGTTTGATTTCCTCGTCAGCTTCGCAATCGCACCTGAAATCTTGGTTTCACACATACGTAGGAAAGGTGTCTGTGGCATAACACTTCCTTGCTGATTCGAATAAAACATGTTAAGATTCTTGGGAGAAAGACGCGGTGTTTGTTAACTAGGGCAAACACAGGAAGTACATGTAGGAGGCGACTCATTGTGATGTAGGGCATGTAGATTAGGCTTTAACAGATATGCTCCTTAGAACCATCTCATTATCTCTGCAGAACATGCTGCAAGTCCGTCAGCGCTATCCAGAGATGGCAAAAGTACCCACATCCTTTACTTAAGTAGAAGCAG